GAAATTGCGAAATGCGTTTTCGTTTCGAAAATATTAATTAAGTAGGGTTGTAAAACTAATCAGCCTGCAGTATTATTCTATAATAATTCAGTTACCTCAGGTTGCTGGCTTTCGAAGGAACTTCCTTCCGGCTGCATACAAAACTTGCACTCGGTAAAAAATGACTACTTATGTAACATGCATTTTTCTCATTGATTTTGGATGCCCCTAAAAGTCCAATTATAGTTCATGGAAAGCATGCATAATAATATTCATTCTTTTGCTCATTTTGTAGAATATTACGTCTTCTTCCATTCTTATACACGAAGGAGGGACATAATTCGGTTTTAAAAAGTTTATAATTGTGAGACTTTTAAATACCGTGAAGTGGCCGTTCATTAAACGTCATGTCTCCGCCTTTACCAATTCGGCTTATAAAGTTAACAATATGGATCAATTCCAATGCTAAAGTTTATGAACGCCATATGGTCTCCTCTCAATACGTAGATAAATGTGTGGTTTTCCGTACGCGGAAAATACATGGCTTATAGTTTGGGAACCCTGAATGCAATTGTGACGGCAGAGGGGGTTCAAAAGTATTCCGGAAATTGGAAGCTCTTTGAAAACCGAATAATACCCTTCCTTCGAGTATAAAATTGGAAGAAGAACTATGTTTCTACCGAATGAGCAAAAGGATTAATATTTTTTGCACGGTTTCCATGAACTATAATTGGACATTTAGTGGCACATAAGTAGTCGTTTTTCACAGAGTATAGTTTTTGTATACAGCCGGAAGGAAGTCCGTTCGAAAGCCAGCATTCTGAGGTAACTGATTTATTATAGAATCATACTGCACGGTGATTAGTTTTACAACTCCACTTAATTAATCTTTTCGAAATGAAAACGCATTTCGGAATTTCGGTTTACATTTCGTGAGTTAGCCCACCAACTGTATTTGAAGAAAGCATAGACAGCAGAATTTATTGGGACCAATAAATTTCGCGACGGCTTATCAGCTGCAGCCTGTCGCTGCTTAAAAGGGATAACAAATTAGAAAGATACAGAGATTCGAACTTCCACAGAGAAAATCAATATAAAGCAGCAACGCCATCGTATACTTCACGCAGACTAATCAATAAAGTGGTAACTTGAAGACGCAACTTAGGAATGAAAACGGGAAGTTAACACGCAGAGGGATTGCGCAAATCAACGGGCCGAGATTTACCAGGGCAAACTGAGGTTGATCACGTGGTCTACCTGTTTACATAGCTCGGGTTTCACCCGCCATATATAGGCAACTTCCAAGTAGCGCAGTATCCGAGTTGTTTGTGCCCGAATTAATACTCGAAAAGATATTTTGGGGTCAACCGAATGACCACTATCTAGGAGGTGCTTTGTGATAGAAGACCGTGGAATTTTATCCTCCCGCTTTAGAAGCCATTTAGGCAGATGCTCAGCTGACCTGGCTGTCAAGTGCCTTTGCGTTGCTGCAGTTGATAAGCCGTTGCGAAATTTATCGGTACCAATGAATTCTGCTGTCTATGCTTGCTTCAAATTCATCCTCGGCAAACACTGCTTCAAATTTCAGATATATTGTCTGGAATCTCACAAGAGCGATACTGCTAAAACTACTACACTAGGAAGGAATTGTTACATCCTGGCCGTCGGTCTTCACTAGGAGACCTTTCAAAATACCAAAGTTAGCGCGTCGCGATAAATCCAATGTGCATTTGTTTGCTCGTGAGGAACTAAGCTCGAGATCTGGGTTGGGTCGATCTCACATTCCAACCCTTTCTCCGAACACTAGCAGCTTGTCCAGATCAAGACGTCTGGGAATAAGGTTAGGCGCAGATGTTGACATGATGGGGCGTCTCTATCAGACGTGTGTCCTACGCGGGCTCAGTAAGGGTTGCCATGAAAGCCGCATTAAGAGAGAGGGAGTCAACAGAGTCCGGCCCTCGTTTCAAGGACGAACCAACTTAGTCCGTTTTGACGCATTCATCATGCAGACGCGTTCAATCAAACGCGCCAAATTCAATATGGTGAGGAGTATGCTGATTTGGCTTATTCCAGCCTCTGCCTCCCGAGCACAAGCGACCTGTCCGAGTCTGTCCGCTGACTGCTGATGGAATTGGGCCTAGTGACGGGGGCGGCGTAACACGCCCACCTATTGCGCTATACACGCACGCACATAAGCAATTATAGAAATGCGTCCCTAATTACGAACCTTGTTAAAGTCAATGCGGGGTTGGTTTGTGAGAGATACATTGCCCTAAAGTGTGCGTATATCGAAGAGACGGCCCATGCGATGAATACATGAGTAGGGATTGCGTGAGCTTGACTGATGGGGTACATTTTGGCTTTTGTTGCCGTGTATTTGATTACGACCAAATAGATCGGTGCGGTGGCTGAATGTGTGGATGCAGTGTGGACAAGGGAGGTGTAAATGACGGGTTTTGGCTGGAGCTCCAGACCGGACACCGCTATTCATACGGCTGCCACCGATGCTGAGAGAAACCTATTCTGTTAAATCTACTTTAGAGAACGTGTGGGTACAACATACGCTCGAGTTGATAAAGCACTCAGACGTAGTTTCCCGGCGATGGGAACGCCGAACTGAATCATCAAGCAGCACGGCACACACGCTCGTGTAAATATAGTATGAAAAGAGCTTGAAACTTATGAAATCTGTGTTACGAGAAATAAGTAGACTGAATCACGAAGAGGGGATACAACAATACCAAGGGGAAGAACGTTGCGTATAAAACCACTCCGTCTGTAGTGGGAGATGGTTCCGCAAAGTCTGTTGGAATACCGGCGAAATGTGCTGCGCTAAGGCAACCGTAGGGGAGGGTCGGGGGGTTGCTGACGTTGAAGGACAGATAATGAGAAGATCTGCAGGGAATGGCAGTTTTGAAGGAGGAAATCGGCGACCGTGAGAGAAAGGGACACCGGCATCTTAACCGACACACGATTACACCGTTCACATTCTCGGTCTGAGGTAAATAGTGACTTCAGTCTGCCTAAACAGCCCAGTCGGATTCGTGTTGCGTTATACCGCGAGCATGACACTTTGAAAATCACCAATAACTGGCAATAATCAACACTGTAATTATGAAGCCATTATCCAGATGAGGCCTCCACCAACTTTGGTGATATACACTAAAATAACTATCCCAGAGAACGCGTCTCCTAATCACACGATAAGTTCGGGCCCTGAATGCATTTTAGGTGTTCAGAAGGAGAAGATGAGATCGCCAAGACGAGAAGTTTTCTGTTCTGACGTATCGGATTCTTATTCGGACCCATCCCCAGAGGCTGTCGTAAGTAGGGGTGATGGAGGAACAATGAGGGTAGTATTTTTACGACGCAGTTACCATATCACCATATGTCCACTACAGCTAATAGCTCTCGCGTTCATTACTGGGCGTCGTATTTGATGAGGTGATTGCATGTTAGGCCCCACCGCTGTTGTTACTAGCGGTGATTTCGTCAGTGTCGTTGATCCTTGACGTGATAATGACTTGATGATTCTGTTCACTGTCACTGGGATAGTTGGAAGCCCCGACCTTCCGGTGTGGTTAATTACTATGTCTAGGCAGAGCCTCAACATAGGATATGGAGGCGAGATGCCACTGTGCATTTTAATCGACTGTGGAGTGGAGAACCATGACCCAAGCAGCCCGCGGATCACGCGTTCGGTATCTATTGCGGGAATTCCGGCCTAATGAAACTCGAAAGTGCGACCGCGTTTTGTCGAATGAGTCACATACCGAGAACTAGTGTCATTCTTCCTCACTGCTGCTACATGTTCTGTTATCCGCGTTCGAAGTAAGTTCTCAGTTTCTCCGGCAAAAATGAATCAGGTCCGACAAAGGATCCGATTTTTCCACCGTTACGGTTGGTCTTCTGGCCTCATTACCTGATGCCTGCTAGTTGTTTCTCATCTGGCGATTGTGACAGTTCGACCATCAATTTCGATGATGTCCACCATGTGCCCCACAGCAGGTTGGAGCAGGGACGGTGACTTGCGCAGGGGTTTATAGTGCCAGTAGACTTGCGCTGCATCTACCTACACTCTCTCCTCCTCCCCCGCCTGGGCCCGGTGTCAAGGCAGAGTCAAGAAGACCGGAGACGAGGGAGGCCGCCGGTGGATGGCTCGGACGGATCCTCACCTTGGCGTTCCACCACACCCCCTGGTCCACACAACAATAACCAGGATTTCAACCAACACAACAGAGATTTGGAGGCTGGCACGGCCGAAGCCGCACCTGGGCGTGCCGCCAACGCCTGGCTCGGATCACACACTGTGGTGGGAGTGCCATAAAGGCCACATTAAAAGGGAGCCATTGCAGCCTGACTCTCAGACCGCCTCCAGTGAAGGAGGAGGTCCAAGGTACCCCGTCAGTTGGCAACCTTCCAAGCCACGGCTTTTAGCGCACCGTGATAGCTTCAAGCGCGTCAGATTGATTGTAGTGAGGAGAAAGTGCGCTGAGTAGTCGACCTCACTCTCCCTTCCCATTCCCACACACCAGCCGCCGTCCGAGCCGGTCGGCAAACTGGAGTGGTGGATGGGCGCGGTGGCTGCCACGGTCGACTGACCATACCTGCGCGCGCCACAGCACGACCTGGCCCCCCATACACACACAAACACCAGGATTTCACACAACGGGGGTTGAACGGCGTGTCTCTCACTTGCGTGAGAGGGCCGTGGAAGGTGCTGTTTCAGCCCGTTCCCAGCCACTCCATACAGCACACACACACACAACGCGACAAACTGCGTGAACCGAGAGCGGGCATCAATCAGCAACCTTCCTATCTACGACACTTGAAGTGTCGGGATAGTCTCGGACTCAAATCACCCGTACAGCCGAAGCCGCGTGGGAACCGAAACGAGATGCACACTTCCCACTTGCGTGGAAGGTGGCAGTTGGTGCATGCGGTGGATAAGTGTTGATGTGTGTTGGTGATGGTGGAGGAGGGTAGGGAGTGTGTGGATGTGTGGGGTAACCGGCGGTTGTCTACCGCAGGTCGTCGTGGATGCGCATGTGGCCGAATAGGCCCATGCGGTGCCTGAAAGTGCGAGGACAGTGTGGGCAGTTGAGACGAGCTTGGTGGGTGTAGGTTGGTGCTCCAGGCACTGGTTCTCCGGTCTCTGTGCGATAGATTCGCAAGTGACCGACCAGGCCGATGCGTGAGGTGAATGTGCGTGGACAGTGTGGGCAAGTTAAGTCGGCGGTGTCAGAATCAGCTACAGAGGAGGCGTTGGTGGTGGCGCAGATGGACGGTGCGAGGGTGGTGCTGGGCGTGATGGGTGTGGTTGGTGTGTCGGAATTGTGGTCGATTCCGCTCTCGTGGATGCGCATGTGGCCAAATAGACCCATGCGATGCGTGAAGGTGCGAGGGCAGTGTGGACAGTGGAGGCGAGTGCGGTGGGTGTAGGTTGGTGCTTCAGGCGATTGTACCGAAAACAGACAAACTGGTTGTCTTGTTCACTTATGCGCCCGCGTTGGAGCACACCACGATGTCTGGAAGGGAGCGCTTCGTCCCCATTAACACGGCGACTGTAACAACAACGAACCTGAGTAAAACACCGCCTCCTTATTACCAACAACTTCCGCGGGGGAGGGTAACCTGGATGCATGTAAGATCGCGGAGTTGGCAGCTGCTGGACTACGTTCTCGTCCTGTGTCGAGATCAACAGGACCCAAGGCGATCTGAAACGTCAACGGCCGGACCGACCACCTCCTTATCGTTTTCAGGATGATGTTCGGATTACAGCCTCGCAGAAGATCACGGGTAGAGCAATCATCAGGTAAGTTAAATGCGGTTCTGATGAATTTGCCTGCTCAGACTTCGAATTCAAAAAACGGTTGACCCGGCAACTGGAAGATCTGCATTCTCCAAACGACGACGCTACCGTGGAGACACGATAGTGTTAACTGAGGGACATTATTCACTCTAAAGCCCTGGATGTCCTCGGACGCGCACTTCCTTGGTACCAGGACCGATTTGACGAAATCTAGACGAATATTAACAACCTATGCGCCGAAAAGAACGGCTTACACAAAGCCTGCATTAGCCGCTGGACCGATGCAGTTAAAGTGGCCATCTTCAGTCGTTGCCGTCTAGTGCAGCAACGGCTGCAGAACGCCCGAATGAATCACAGGATCGAGAAAATCCAAGCGTATGCTGGCCGCAGTGAAATAAAGAAATCCGCATCTGCCTAGGCTGCCTACGGCCCCACGGCCAAAGGGACTGCGCCGCTTCTCAGCTCCAGTAGAACGACACGCCTAACAGAGAAATCGCAGATGCAGAAGGGCAGAACCGAGAACTTTAGAAAGGTCTTCAACCGCTCATCTACGATATGTGACTCCCCATCGACTGGGTCTCTCAAGTGGGAAAGAACTTTGATCTGAACCTCCCGCCTTCCCTCCAAGGGACTATCAAAGCCGTGCAACAAACCTCTAGCAGGAAGGCACCGGGACCCGATGCGATCTCAGCCTAAGTTTTCAAGCACGGCGACCGCCAGCTGATGGACAAACCTACAAAGGTAGTTCAGGAGATGTGGCGTCAAGCATCAGCTCCTTAAGATCTCAAGGGCGAGACATTCGTCCATCTGTAGAAGTGGAAAGGGAACCGACAACTCTGTGATAATCACAGAGCAATTAGTCTGCTCAAAATCGCAGGGAATATCCTCGCTTGCACCCTTCTTAATCGTCTCGCTAGGCATCTGGAAAAAGGACGTCTCCAGGAGGGTCAGTGTGGATCTGGACAGCACCGTAAGACCACTGACTTAATCTTCATCGCCCGCCAGTTGCAAGAGAAATGTCAGGAAATGCGCATCCATCGCCAAACTACCTTCATGTACGAGACGAAAGCCTCCGACACGGTAAATCACAATGGACTGTAGAAAAGCATAAATAATTCAGCTGTCCTGAGCAATCCACACACATAATGCGTCATCTCCACGACGGAACGCTGGCGCGCGCTACGGACATCGGGCAGTCTCTAAGGTATTCGCACTGACTGTCGGAGTAATGCAGGGCTGCGTACTCGTCCTTACCCTCCTCAGCCTTATTTTCTCGCTCATGCTGGTGCACTCCTAGCATTATAAGCACCCTGAGCCTTGCATCGTCTTTAGAATTGATGGTCATCTTCTCAGTAGCCCGCGGATGTAGGTCCAAATGCATCTCTTCACGACTGCTGTCCACGGTCAGCTCTTCGCTGACGACTGCAAACTCGACACCGCGGCAGAGGCAGGCATGTAGGGGGGTCTCACCACTTCGGGCTGCCCATCAAGGGGGACAAAAGGCTGGTCATGTGTAGACCGTCACCTAACACTGCATACAACGCCACTTGTTTCACCATTAGCGGCAATTTCGCACGTTTGGAAAGCGCACGCCCATTCTGCATCAAAATCGACGTGGAAGTGGCATATCGGGGCTCCAAATTCATCCGTGGCTTCGACCAGCTGCAGGCTTCACTCTGGAAACGCCAAGGACTTTGACCCAACACGAGGCTCAAAATATACAAGCGGTAGTCCTGACAAAGTGGTAGAGAAATGGAACGTTTACATCAATTAAACCAGGAGGCTTAAACAGTTCCACCTCAGTTATCTTCGGAGAATTCCATTGCTAGGATGGCGGGACAAGATCCAGGACACGGAAGTCTTGGAACGGACCGGAAACCTCAGCGGCCACGCAAGGTTGAGGTAGCTGTAACTGCGATGGAGCGACTAGCTCATGGGGGTGGACTGTGAGTGACTACACAAACGACTATGGGGATGTCGCTTAGACATACACGCGGCCACCAGGACATACTAATGGACTCTCTGAAGCACTTTTTAATCAACCCATGAGCATGGGAGGACCTCTTCCAGGACCGAATGGCCTGGAGGAGGGCAGTGGTTCAGAGTTATTTTGAAGTTGAGCGGCCATTTCCCCGCCCCATTCACTCATGTACGCTTCCTGCCTTTTCAAGGGGATTTTGACATGCAAAACAGAACCATGTTTTTTCTTCGTTTATTTGTTCGAACTAATGACGACGTCAATTGGCTACGCCGATTCGACAATGAGGTCTCGACATAACTGCGCAGCTCCAAAATAATGAAATCTACGTTTATTCTCGTCCTGGATTGGGGTGTTTTATAATATTTCTTCGAAACTTTTGACTACCGAGAAACACTGGTTTAATCAGTCAGAAAAATTGGCGGCGGTTTCAGAATTTATATGGTTACTGACGCTCACAAGTGCGGGATATACCGCATGACTTACATACCTCGTGGATCCTGCATTAGTCATGGAACTGCAAAATGTCAGATAGGCATACCGATCGTTTAAACTTACACGTAAACCAGCTTTTGTGAAAGTGTTCTACGGAAGAGCTTTTGGTAGCGGTCTTCTTAAAACATCGAAATTCCACCGTGTGTTCCACAGCAAGGTGAGAACAGGCACGGTAACTTGCGCATGAATTAGTTTATAGTGAAAGTGGACTTGCGCAGCATCTACAACACTCTCCCCTCCCCACCTGAGTCCGGTGTCAAAATATGGTCAAGATGATCGGAGACGGGAGAGAGTACAGGTGGCTGGCACGGCTACATCCGCATCTAGACGTACCACAACACACCCCGGTCTCTCGATGACACAAGTCAGTGGGGAACCATGCTCACTTCCTGTATACCCAGCGGGAGCGCAAGCGCATCTACCGACAGTGAACCAGGTGTCATTGAACTGCCATTGCACACTAGTCTGCGAGGGCCATGGTTAGTTGAATCATAGCACAGCAGGCTCATGCAATCCTTATGGTCCACAGATATAGGAACAAAGCCACTCCCAACTTATACTCGTCGTACGAGAGGTCACAACGCAATATTCAGTCACGGCTACCCATTTTACTGCAACTCCCGGCTTAGCAGCTTTTTTAACCCAAAATTGTCTTCTTAGCTGAATTATCTTAATGCGCGCATGCTTTCCAGAAAAGGTTAGCTTAAATCTGTCAAGATTTTACGGAAAACTTGTCACATCCCATCACTAGCGACTTTATCCCAACCCAAATAATCATGGACGTTGTCGGTCATAGACACTGGATCACCGTTTGCTTGTTCAGACTAATAGTAGTGCAAGGTCATGATGCCACACTAGTCAGGTATACGCCTGCATACCCTCCCTGCAGATATAGGGCGTGTGAATTCAATGAAAACAGGCGACTCCTGCGAATAGGAGGAAAAGTGTTCAATGGCAGGTACTTCTTAAAAGACACCATTTCTGTCAACACTACGGTAAGAGCAATGTGTGGAGTTCTGGTCTCCACTTCCGCATGCCCACTCTTATTTTTCCGACTTAACTGTTAGATGTTTCGTTCCCTTTGCTTTACCCGTGTTTTTTTTCATTATTGCGTACGCCGCTAAAGTTCGGTGACTGGGAACTCACACATATAATCATTTGATACCAGTAAGGATCCAACTTATCCTTTTGTTACCCCTCAACTGTATCTAAGTGAGGTTTGTTCCGAAACACCCACATCAAGGCCGTATGTAACCTTAGCCCGATTTTATTATCTTTATTGTATAGTGGCGTTGGTTTCAGAATTCCTAATGATGCACATACGTGAAACTTGTTGGCTATTATGGGTCAGCATTTTACACGCCTGTATGAATTTGCTTTTCTGTCTAGTGTTGGTTTAATACCCATCTTCGTCTTCCCGGTCAAGAGAGTTTTGTCGTGCAAATTTCCCCTGGGAACAGAACAGTTGGATAGGAAAGTATCGCAGATGGAGATGAAGAGTTTAAGGGGACTAGCAATTGAGTGATGTGAACATGGGAAATCGTCGGTCGATTAGAAGAAGGGGGACGGATCCCTGTTGAATAAAGTGCGCATACCCGGCTAAAACTCCAGGCAGTTCTTTCGCCTGTCCAGCTTCCCGACTATAACCCAAAAAGTCTTACGAAGTGTGTGACAGCGATCTCGTAAGCGGCTCTGGCTAATTCGGGTCGTTTTCGCACTAAATCAAAGTCGTGATTCTGGTGAAATTCGGCATCTGCCGGAGATGAGTGAGACACACTGTTTCCGATGTGTACTGATTGCCCTTTTGTAGAAGATACTATAAAAAGATGCTATAAACAAATGTGGGTAAAACACGCCGTCGACATGCTGACCATAGCAAGGTCTGAGTACCCTATCGCATCTTCAGTAGCTTCATTTTCTCTGTCATGCTGACGGGGGCCTACTGTGGGCAATAAGCGGCAGTCGACAGCAACTACTGAACGGCTGACGAAACACGCAAAATCCAGTGTATTTGAGTAACTACTCGAGTTGCCATGGCCGTCGTCTGCGACCTCTGGTTCATGGATGACTGCGCGTTAAAAAATCCATGGAAACGGGTC